CATTCTCTCTCTCTCTTTCTCTCCCCCACTCTCCCTCCGATAAGCAGCCGATGGTTATCTTTCCATCGGTGTGGGCAACTCTTTCAACACACAGCACGCAACACGAAAGGCGAGCAGTAGCAGGAACGTCCGCGCCCCACCTCCCCATCTCTTACATCAAGGTACCGACGTTGATCCCCATTGCGAGCGCTCCCGCGAAGCCCCCCCCCAGAGCCCGCTTGAGGGACTTGTCCAGGATTTCCTGGGTGGTCGGCGGTGCTTTCGGCGATGTGCTCGACATGGTCGGTCGGCTGCTTTCGTCAGTCTGTCGGGAGCAAACTCCTGCGGCAGCAAAAGAAGGCGCGTTTCGAAGGCATAACGTTGTGGGGACGTAGCAGCAGCAGCAGCAGCAGCAGCAGCAGCAGAAAATAAATACTTTACACAAGAGCAGTCAACCCAACCAAGGGTTTCAAGTCGACGAGGGGAAAGAAGTGGGAGGCTCCTCCTCGCTCTTGTTGAAAGGTAGGTTTGCCAGGGAGGGAGTCGTGATGAGCCGTGGAGCAAGCGGGGCGCAGCAGACCACGGCAACATGTTTCGAAAGTGATCTTCTCGTTCGACGAAGCCAAGAGAGACCCCGCGAAATGGAAACGCAGGGTACCACCGCGAGACTGCTGTTGATCGCACACCCCTTAGCAAACCATTTCTCGAAGCCCGATACTACCCCATTGCTGTACCAAGCAGAAGGTTGTGATAAGACGGACCGATTCGCGAAAGGAAACTCTGGACGAAACACTTCCAAACCCAACGCCCTCGTTGGGCATCGGTGTATCTACCATCATTGGTTGATGCGGAGACGTCGAAAACCGCCTTGAGGAAACTCTAGGCGCAAAAACTCTTCACTGGCCTGCCTCCAACGGGTGGACCATTGGAACAGGCAGTAGTTGTGTTGTACTCTCAAAACAGAGTGCGGGGAGGCGGGTTCAAAAGAGGTTATATCCCATGCTGAGAATCCTCCAAACACACACACGTTAGAGGCATGATTTAGCACAAGGAGAGAAGGAGGAGAGCCCAAAATGGCTGCTGTGTGTCAAGTATTTATTATCTGGCTCGGTTCGTATCGCCCACCGGCGAGCTGCAAAAGCGAACGAATGACGTGTATTCGCTGACAGATTGAGCACGTTGTTCTGTGTTAGTATCAGTGGTATCTGTTCAACGAGGATTCGTAATTTACTAAGGACGTATATTAACGAAGTGCCGAAAATCAAAATCGAAAAAATCAAAATCAAAATCGAGATCTGATCGGTCGAATATCTGCTACCTCCTGACGACGCCCTATGATTTTAAGCAAGTTCCTCTGTCTGGGAAGAAGTCCCCGGCGGAATTTTTTTTATCAAAATCAAGATCAAAGAGGCAAGGATTTCAAGACTTCGAAGGCTTGGAGCACCTGCCGCGAGGCCGCTGCAAAGCAAGTGTACGACACGACCTGCTGCACACTGCTCATAGAGGGGCTATCGGCACCCTACCACCGAGACCATGGCCATTATTTGTAGCCAGAAGACTCTGCTCGCCGGCAAGCCATAAAACGGGCCGGCTCGTTGGGTGCTCGAGGAGAAAATGCCGATCGTGACAAGAGGTGAACGGGGTGACGATCAGAACAGGGCTGCGCGGCTTTTTCGGGCTGTTCCGTGCGGGAGAGGGTAGTTGCAACCTTTTTTCTCCACACTCACGATACCCCAAGGCATCTGACCTTGTACGAGACAGGTGGTGGGTAAAGCTACCTCCCGTCGCGTGGCATTGCTAATGCTGTTGCTTCCTCCTTCGAAGAGTTATCGCTGAAAAACTAAACTGTGAACAGACATTCGGCGCGAACTTGAACTAGCCGCTCTCTGACGTGGATTTTTTAGGGTCAACCATTTTTTTTCCCTACACGCACGATACCCCACGGTAGCAGACCTTGGGCTTGAAAGATGGAGCAGAGACGTACCTCCTGCCGCGTGGCGTTGCTGTTGCTGTTGCTTCCTTCTTCGGAAAGTTATCGGTGGATATCACAACCCGTGGCGGCCCAAAACACCAAAATTGAAGTGACCTCTCGCAACCGTTGGCATTTTTGCTTCAACACAACCTTTTTTTTCCGGCGCACTCGGCACCTCACGGCCCCAAACCTTGGCATTGCCCAACAGCCCATGTTTCCAGCTCCTTCCGGAAACCTTTCTTGAGGCAACTCGTTCAGTATTTGGCGATATATCGGCTAACACGGGTACAGAAGAGCGTAAAACGCACCCTAGAAAAATCACCGCTGCGCTGCTGGCTCTTCCCCTGGCGCCAGGTCTTTTTGATTTTTTGCCTCATCTGTCTCCTATCCTCGTTAACATACACGAGCCTCTTTTTTCAGTTTTCCACGATAACGCATTTTGATTTTGATTTTGTGCCAATTTGGATTTGGATTTTCGGCTCTTCGTTAATATACGCCCTAAGGCAGACAAAGGCGACATGCGTTTGCTATTCGCACGGCGCGTAGATTTTTTAGAGCGTGCCGTCGTGGAAAAACGGTCGACCGCACTTTACAGTAATAAAAAGAAAGATAATGTTATGAAAAGACCGACGGTGGAGTTGGGTTGCTGTGCCTCCTCGCCTCCTCTGTCTTCCCACTAAGTGCCACGCGCGCGCCCGGGTCGTTCTTTCAAGAGACATGGAGGGTTGTGCATTTTCAGTCGGTAAGGGGACGCGTTTTTCACCTACAGTAGTGAAAGTGTGACCGGCTCACTTGCAAAATGAGAGGAAACTCTCGAAATCGGAATATGAGCAAATCACACATCGGGTTAACCTACAATAAAGTGACATGTAGGCGTTAATTTAGCCAACACATCAGTAGCGTTAACACATTGATTGATAGTAACTCTTTTTAAGACCAGAACTTGTAACGCCTTTTGAGTGGTCGGGCGTTTGGCGTTTTTAACATTACACCCTAACATGTCTGTCCGCCTGGAAGATTCTTCGGCATCACTAAATCGCATGTCTCGCCGCCGTCGCCGAAAGTACCAAAATGACCACAAGGCAGAGAGGTCGCACGGCTAGTCCCTCCAGTCCCCGCTGCCGCTCCCTTAAAACCCGATTGTTGAAAGCCTATAAAAGATAGATACATGCAAGCTGTCGCTCGGGAGCGTATGCGGATGAAATGGTGATCTTCCTCCCCGTCCATCATGTGCGCTGCCTCGTTTCGACATCACACACCGAGACCCCTCACAAAAACATACTGTATCATGGAGCCGCATAGCAGGTCATTCGAGAATCAGCTGCGAGTACATCTTGGCACGGGCGGAAAGCGTGTACCACTCCTTTTCGTCCAACGCTTGGAGGGCTTAGTCTCTAGTGAGCTTGTGCACGTGCTAAAAGTGGCCGGTGGCCGTTGCCGGTCCGCTACCCAACCCTGCGTAGCCGCGGGGATCAAGGCAGTAAACCTCACGATGCCTTACAACACAGCAGCAGAGCGGCGCGTACGGTAACACCCACAGCGCCGACGAGTTACTTACACCCACCACCCTGCGAACGGTTCATGGCGTATCATGGCTACAGGACTGCATGTAAACGCTGTCCTTTTCGGTACAAGAGGTATCTCATGTGCTGGTTGTTCGGCACATTTGAACACCAATAATACGTGCCGCTGAACGGATGATTCTACATGACATTGATGACAAGGCCCCCCTGGCCCGCAGAGGAATGGGCTGCTGCTGCGCATGACGCGAGCGCGACGTCGGACTGCTCTACACAAAGATTGGTCAGTTTCGAAGGTCGTGATAGAGCTGGCGTGCCTGCTGTGAGTGGTCTAGGGGAGGGTGCGTGTGCCGGCGAGAAGTACAAGGCGCCGAAATGAAGGCTCTCGAAAAACTAAAAAAAAACTTGCTGACGTTTGTCTACATGCCTCCGCTGATAACGCAGCAAGCAGCACGGAAAGGCTTATATGCTCACTTGCTGGATGGACTTGGTTCGCAGAGTGAAGAAGGTTGACAGCTCTCTCGGCCAGCTCTCTCTTTCTCTCTGTCTTCACACTTCCTGTTACAGCCCGATGAGCAATATGGTCAAGGCCGGAAGAACGCTACCAAAGGCTAGATGTATGTGCGGTCCAACTTCTCATCGCGCGCGCAGTTCTCCTCTGGGAGTTGCTAACGATATTCGGTGGCAAGGTGCCGAAAAATGAGGTTTGACGGTTTTTGACCGCACAACACACATCCCGCGGTTTTTCCGGTTCAGACGTGGTGCAGAGCTCCAAACCACACGCGCTTTCTCGAAAGCTCTTTTCTCACCTGTCTTCTTTCTCTTGCAGAGAGGACACACACACCAACTATATCATACAACCACAGAGAGAGAAAGCCCACTTGATCGACAGAGCACGAGAGAGAGCGAGAGAGACGTTGCACTTGAAACCGACCAAACCAAAGACACCTCTTCCAAACGGGTGGCAGCGGCCAGCTAGCTGTGCAAGAAGTCAACAACTCTTGGCGACCCGATTTTTTTTCGCAGCAGCAGGCAGGATGGACCCGGCGAGAGGGAGTAACGGCATCCCCCCGGACCCCGCTGCTGCAGCCGCCGGCGTGACTCCCTCCCCAAGGGGCACGAGCAGGCCCATCACTCCCGCGTCCGAGCAGCGGACGGGTCCGCACTGGTGGAAGAGCCAAGTCCCGCCGCCACCGCCGCCACAAGGTGTGTCCATGCGAGGAGCAACAGCAGCAGCAGCAGACCCGTCGTTTGTTTGATGTCGAAAAAATAATTATTTGCGGCGCTACGCTACTGCCCCATAGGGTTGTGTCTCCCCATCGGTAAGTTATGAATTGTTGCGAACGGTAACCTTCCGCGCTTTCCGCGCGCCAGCTCTTTTCGTTCGTGCGTGTAAACTATGCTTAAACTTGAGGTGCTGTGAGTTAGTTGCCCCTGTCTCTCTTTTCTCTCTCCCTCTCGCGTGGTAGTGTATACCATGGTATGTAGCAGAGTCAACATTTGTGTTTGAGCGGAACTATAGGGGACACGGGACGCAGCAAAACAGCTGCTGATTGTTGATGATTGATGACCGCAAAACAAGCCGCGAGTATTATGTTGAGCCGCTTTGTGTTTTCTTTTTATGCCAACACATGTACCCCCCGACAGCGGCAACGGCTGTGGTGTGTGCGCGATGAAAGCGTTTCCACACGTATTTTCTGCTGTATAGAACCACGGCTTGGCATACACTCTGTACGGCAGCAGAAGCTGTTTTTTATTCGGGCGGAAGTGGCTTAGGCAGTGTCTCGCCCGCGGAGAGAGGCAAGGGGCGTCCAGCCTTGGAGCACGGCTGCTCGTATACTACTGCTAAACTCACACGTGTATGCATATTCATGCATAGAAAGTCTCTGCTCAAAGTGTACATTACTACTGCTGTGTACCTCTTGACATCGGTTCAACGACACGGGCGTCTGCCGTGGTCCCAGCAGACGCTGCACCGCGGAAAGAAGTAGGTTGTGCTGCTGCTGGCGTGTGTGCGTGTATCTGTATCCTGCTGGCGCGTGTCCCTTTCTTTACCCACACATGCGAAGGGACGTCGTCATTGTTGTGCTCCCGGTGTACCACACGGAAGAAGCAGGCGGCAATCTGCGCGTCTGTGGCAGCACTTTGAAGAGTTCCGTTGCTATTTATTTTCCCCTAATTGCTGCCGCTCGTTGTGCATGCGCTATTGTGTGTGTATTTATTTTTCCTTAATGCGCAAGGAAGTGCCACCCGCCCCTTGCCACCTCTCACCGCAGATCATTTTCCGCGAGGCGTTTTGTGCCCCCCCCCCCCCTCCCTCCCCCGCCGATCGAAGCTGAACGCTTTTTCTGAAGACCGGTGCCTAGTCACTGCTGTAGACCCGAGGGAGGTCGTTTAATATTCCATGAGCCTTTGAAGTTTGTGTCAACCTTTTTTTTTGTGGTGAGCTCTTCTGGTGATGTTTTCCTTTTCCGCGTGTCAACTTGACGATCCCTGCTCGACACCCACACAACTCTTTTGTGTTGCAGCCAGAGAGACGAAACGGCGCGGTGGCGTTTCTGGTCCCGGCGAATTAATGTGTTTTACCCGCCGCTAGGCTCCATATTTTCAAAATACATTTTTTGCCGTCGGGAGCGAGAGTAATGGCCACCTGCTACTAGTTGCTGAGTGTCGTTTGTACGTAAGCGGTAAGGCAACAAGCCTGCTCTGCTGTTTTTGGTAACCAAGGTCACGGCGGTTGTCACCTACAGTGTAAATAGTAGGAATGGGACCCAGCCGAAGAGCTAATTCTCGGAAGAAAAACCAAAAGGGTTGATCGTCCGCTCCCCAACTTGTGTTTGCATGAATCCTTCTTCTTACACCCATAATGACGACGGACTGGGGCTCCCACAACATGGATGGCGTAGGCTTTGCTGTTGTAGTGAAACATGGACGGTACTGCTGTTGTTGTTGTAGTTGTTGTTGTCTTGACGTTACGAACCGTTCCGGTCTCCGCTCGGTACCTTCTCATGTCCGTACTATAACAGCCCAACTGACGCCGACGCCTTGCTTTCCGTGGTCACAAGCCAACTGCCCCCACAGGGGGTACACCTTGCAATAATAAAAACGGACACCTGTAAACGGAAGAAATGCGGTGCTGTCTTGTGTGTGGGAACGCTCATGTGTCGTGATGGAACAAGAAAAAGCATCGCGCCATCGACCTGTGCGTAGCCGCGCGGCGATCTGATCGCCGAGACCACACACGCCGACCGGCGTTAAGGGCTCAATAAATATGCCATCGTCCTGGTCTCTACCCGGTCACCCTTCCTTACACGCCGCCGTCTTTTTCGCTTCCCGTGGGGTAGCGAGAGTGGATGGTGGCGTTGGCAAACCTGTTGGACTTTCAGAAGGTCCCCTACAGCAGCAGCATAGCCTGCTGTGAACGACCTTGCTTGGCTTTTTGAGAGTGGGCCGCCGAACGATAGACTATATCGCAACCGCTTAGCGCTAGGCGACCAGGCTGCATGGAATTACGCCTAGATAGACCAGCCTCCCCGAGCTGTTGTGTTTTTTTGTCGTATCGCCACTTCGAGCCATGCAGTCGATTCGATCGCTAAGCAGCCAAGGGGAGAATTTTCAACAGGTGGCGGAAAAAAATGACGTCGAAACCTTTTATTTTGCACGTGCGTGCCGTCAAGGTTGGAAGGAGGCGCAGACAACTCTTGCGTCTTGTTCGTGCTGCGTTGCTACGTGTGAACACGCTATTTTGATGATTTGATCGAGTTGGCATGATTGTCGGTGGCGACTACAAGACCCGCCCGAGCTCCTGCTGCAGGCTTACCCGGATTCCAAGAAAAAGCGTTAGGAAGCCATCATGCCCCAAGTCTTGCAGTTTGAACCGCATTTTGTTTTTTGTTAATACGGAGTATGTATGAGTCTACCTATCCATGTTTTTTGTCTTGAAGGGGAGCAGCGCCGGTTGAGGCATATGACATAGAGCAGCAACTAGTACTGGACCTTCCGTGAGCTTGCACCCCCCGACAACGTCCTGCTTACACATTTCGAGCATGGCCGAAATCGTGGATCTCGTAGATACAACCAAGGGGGCGGGAGCGTGCTCGGCGGCACTTGGATCTCCCGTGCCTTCGTTCCTAGGTTGAATACACTTTACTGATGAAATCTCCGGCATCCCCGTCCTCTCGCCCCCCGGCCAATCAGCGGCAATACCCGGATCAACCTCAATTCTCGCAATCCCTCACTTATTGTCTCATCCAACGTAAGGTAGCTATAATAGCTCGCTTTCGATCCGTCCACGCCTCTTTCCCCCTTTTTTCGTCTCACAACAACATGATGTTGGCGTTACTCTGCAGACGGGGAAAACTCCTTGAACGATGGCAGCACAGCCGCGACAAACGGAGGGGAGGAAGCGGGGGAGCAGAGGCGGTTCTGGAGAGCGGCCTACAGCCCGGACGAGTTCGCGTCGGTGCGCCGCGCGAGCGAGAGGGTCACGCTCAACCTTAGGTATTTAGGTGTGGAATAAGATGACCTATTTTGCTGGAACGTGCAGCAGTCTTTCTTTGATTGTTGTGGCCGTCAACAGCATCGGCATCGGACACCGGTGAAGGGTTCCGTGTTAACGTAACCGACGTTTCGTTGGGGTCGGAGGAAGTATTGATAGTCGGTATTTTCTACAAGAGTGACGGGCGTTTGTAGTGCAGGAAGGCAAGTTGCGTCTACAGGGCCAGGTTTTTCGGCCTCCTACTGCTGTAGTGTCAGGAGGGAATGTGGTCGCTTTGCAGGGCAGGTCGCTCTTGCATAGCGGCTGCTGAGGATGCAGTGGTGCCGCCCGACGTTAGCCTTTTTCAGGAACACCTGTTCCCGTTTGAGGGAGGTAGTCTGGTATTTTTTGGCCTTTTGTCAACGTTGGTGAGAGAGGCAAGGGACAGAGAGAATGCAGCAGTGCGAGACAGAGCAACATAAACGAAAGGAGAAAACGAGAGAGAGCGGCAGAGACCGATAGAGGGAGAGATAGTCTATACGATATGAAGACACGAAAATTGCATGCTCTAACGCCAACATCGGCCGCTAGGCTACGAAAGAATCCGAACGAGATCATGATCATCCCCCCCCCCCCCCCCCGGATCACCCCAGCGGCACCTCTTTCATGACGACCCGCGACACCCTGGCGAGAAACCCGCACACGTACTTCGCGGCCATGCTGAGGATGCAGCCCCCCACGACGCCGGGCAGCGCATCCGTCCGGAGCGGGAGCACGGGCAGCGCTAGCGCGGCGGCGGAGGAAGAAAGCAGCGGCAGCGGCGGCACCATGAACGGCGGCACGCCCGCGGCGGCGGGAGGAGGGGGTGGAGGGTCGTCGTCCTCTGCTTCGGACGGCGTCGAGTTCTTCATCGACCGTGATCCCACGCACTTCCGGTGAGAAAGTGTCAAGAACGAAAAAAAAAATGGCCGCCGGAGTCTAGTGTTCGGTTGACGCAAAATACTACACCCCCCTGGACCGATTTTCGAAGGTCGATTTCTCCACGAAGAGGATGCCGAAATATTGAAGTGCCTGGTATACGTTTTCGGAAAGCTCTTGACGAGACCGTTCCAACGCCTACCGCCATTGTCGGCACCATCACTGCTTTTTCCTGCCGAAGTATCGAGCTTCGAAAATCGGTCCAGGTCCAGGGGGTGTTATCTTACGGTAGTGGTGGGGTGACGTAGGATATCACACCCCCTGGACCACGCACTTCCGGCGAAGAGTGACAGAGAAAAAATGGCCTAGCGTCGAGTGTGAGCACCGACCGTAGGTGACGTTAAGATACCATACCCCCTGGACTATTTTTCAACTCTCCATTACTCCACGACGAAGACGATGCATGATGCATACATCAACCGTTCCGAAAGCTCTCGGTGTGGCGGTTCCAACACCGCCTTTTTCGGCGCCGCTGCTCTCTTCTGCCCTGCAGTTATCGAGCTTTGAAAATCGGTTCAGGGGGTGTGATATCTGGTGTCACCAACGGTAGTGTTGTAGTAGTGTGTAGGAGAGAGGCATTTCATGGTGGGAAGGTGGGAGTGGGTCGGGGAAGACGGTAGAAATATCTTCTCTCTTTTTTCTGAAGATCCTCGGGGGATTGAAGTTTTTGTTTTTTAGTGAGGGATGAACGGCAATAGCACCTGTGCCATATTACATGGCCCCGGGTGAGCACGTCGATTTCACGCCGACCATGCAACAAGCGTGGCAACGCTGCGCGAGTCCCCGTCGTGAAAGTGTTGGAAACGTTCGTATCGTGCAAGACAATCGCCTCAGCCGCGGAGCTTTGGCGAGGCGGGCAGAGTCCTTCTTGAGGATTTATTGGCACGGAAAACGTGGCAGTTTCGGATGTTGGGTTGTTGATCTTGGAGTGCGGTAGGAACACATTGAGTCACTCAACCTATATATGTATTTTTTTTTGCGTCACCATCTACAATATTCTGTTTTTTCAATTAACACCTCGAATTGTTGTTGTTTGTACGTTGCTATCGCTGTCAGCAGTACCCTCCTTTCGCCCCTTTTTTTTTCAGGCACGTCTCGAATTGTTTGTGGGTCGCTTGCAGCAGTATGGCTTATCGTGAATAAAACTTGCGTTTTTGTTCAGGCACATCTTGAACTATCTGAGAGATAGCTACATCGGGCTGGAGTCCTTCGGCAAGGAGGATCTGCATTTCTTGGAGGAGCTATCCCACGAGGCACAGTTTTTCAACATCGCCGGCCTTTGCTCGGACATATCTCGCAGGTGGGGCATGGAAGTTACGTTCAAGAGAGAAATATGTTTTCTGCGGGAAAGAGCGAGAAAATATGTTTTTCTGAGCCAGTAGAGAAAAATTGCAAATGCTTGCGCTTGTATCCGGGAGAATCTTTTGTTCAAACCTCGAGAAAAAAAGTCGCAGTTATCGGTTTCGCGCAGGGAAGCCGCGGACAGGAACAATGAAAAGTGTCAGCCCCGGTGCACGTCTAAAGTGTTTTGTGCGTCGAGCGAGCACACAGACATCGAACGGGAGCATCCGTCGTCGATCGAACGGCTTGCAAGCGTCGGGCTGTGATATCAGCATCCAGCCGCGACGGCGGTTGAGTTATTTATCTACCACCCACGTGGACGTCGTACTGTAGTGCGATGGGTGGGGGATGTATTCAGCAGGTGCGCAGCGGCGAGTTGAGGGCAGCGACGACCATGACAACAGCGAGCTCCAACATTGCCAGCAAGGTGTCTCGAGCCGCGTACTCGACTGGGTGCCCCCCCCTGTTTTTTGTTTTGTACCATGTTGTTCCCCAGGATGTCGGACATCGCACGGCAGCACAGGGAAGGGCCATCGGGAGACAAGGACTTCAGGCTTGTGCAGTGCTCCACGGGCCAAATACAGGCAAGAAAGAGAGAGCGAGAGAGAGAGAGGGGGAGAGAGATACCATAGAGGGTTGTGGATACTGCAGGTAATAAAACATGAAATACTTCGTACGTAGCTTCTGGGCCGACTAATGTGCTGCGCGGCGGGCGTGCTCTTCGTCCTCGTCCACGCACACGTAGCATTTCTCGAGAGCGGGTGGGAGGCAGGCGTGGTAGTCGCAAGTCGGATGCGTCCACCGTGACGGATGGCGCACGACGCCGGGTCTTGGTTCCGGCCCCCACTCCCCTACTCCCCTCCCCTGCTGGTCTCGAGGAATGCTGCTGTGTGTGTGGACGAGCAAGAAAGCACGCCCGTCGCGCCGAAAAGAGTTTGTTGTTGTTCCTACAATTTGGCGGGTGTGCGGGTGATAGAAGTCGATGCTGAGAGAGCACGGAGACCGGAAACACACACTTGTTTCTGACGACAAGACACACGAAAAGTACAGCAGTACGACGAACAATGTTTTTTTGTTTTCCAGGACCTTTTCCACGAGTGGGTCATCGAGAAGAACTACGAGTTCGAGTGCATGCAGATCGTGGGGGATACGGCGTACATCGTGCTCGGACGTCGAGTGAGCCGTGGAGAGCTCGCGCTGGTGGAGCGCTTGATGAAGACCTGATGATGGGGGACGGGGCGGGGGGGGGTCTCAACCAAAGCCTTGCAGGGCGGGCGGCGGGGGCGGGGGAGTGTGCCCCGAGGCACGATTAAGGCCTGGGGGGTAGGTCGGGCCTACGGACATGTGTCATGTGTGCATGGCTCGGCCGTTTACACGGCGCCGGTCGGCTAGCAGTACAGTTTTTCCCAAGCCCCTGGGCGAGCGACGTTTTTTTCACCCTCTGCGTCTTCAGCGGACGCACAGCGAAGAGTGTGCTGCCGCGATGTAGATATAAAAGTACTTGCGCATCCAGCTAGAAAGTGAGGTGGAGGCGTGCGTAAGCCTGGTACTGCTTGTTTTCATCCTGGTTTTGTGCCAAAAATGGGGGCGGGGGAGGGGGGGGGGGGGGGGGGGGGGGGGAAAAAAAAAAAAATTCGGTCCCATTTAAAAGGGGGTTTAACCCCCCGGGGGGAATTTTTTAGTTTTTTTTTTAACCCAAAAAACCCCCGCCCCCCCCCCGGCCTGGGGGGGAAGGGGG